AGGCACACCTGGAACTGCCCAAGGTTTCTGGTCCAAATAATTTTCTGCATGCCTGGCTCCTTCCACTCATTCACGCTTCTCATGGATTCCTGGTGATCTCTGTAATGGAAACTGCATGTGGCATGTCTTTCACACCCATGGGCTTATCAAGTAAAGCTGACAAGTTCTCTCTTCTCAGCCCCTGACTCTGCATGACAGCCTGTAGTAAGTCTTGGCCGCTTCCAGACAGACGACAACTTCTGTTTCCCGCAAGACCAGAGATGCTTTGTTACACTGATAAAGGGCCTGTCACGGAGTGCTGGGGTTAAGTGCTGCTCAAAATACACCAGAAGCAATGGGGAACTGGTGCAAGAAATGAGATGAAAGGGAGAAGGGAACTTCAGGCTAGACCCTGGTCTAGGTGAAGAGCTTGGTCACCTTATGGGGAGAACTGTAGAAATTGAATTCAGTGGACAAGCTTTGGATGGCAGACAAAGGTGAATGCACCCCGTTTTCTTAGGTCACAGACATGTGCTGTGTCTACCTGCTTTCCAAAGTTTTAGATAGTTTTTCTAAGTGCTGTGAACAGCATGGATACAGAAATCTGTGTTGAGAATCTTTGAGACAACACTTCAACAGCTACATTATGTGAAGGTTGGCTAAAACCCTTCCTACTTATTAGGTTTACTGTTTCTAAGCACTGCAGAAAGAGGCTGAAAGGCTGTAACAATTTGCAGGCTGTTCTCTTCCATAAAAACCTGTCCTCCCTATCCCACCTTGATCCCAAAAAATGTTAAGGCAGAGTTCTCTCTTCTTTATGAAGACTGAAGTAAATGCTCCTTAGATATCATTTGAAGAAAATCCCCTGGATTCACAGAGTATTATGACAAAGGGTTCTTACTTGTTTGCTTCGCTCTTTCACTTTGGGCAGTGCACATCAAACATATAACAAAGGAAATGTCTTTACATGAGAAATTACCCCAATTCCCTTTCACACAGGAACGTATAGAGACAAAAAGTCCTAATTTGTAAGACCTGTTAACAAATGTGAGATGTTTGCAAATGGTGTTGATAAAAAGCCCAAGTATGAGGATAAGCAAAAAGAGTAGAAAGGACATACTAACGATACCAAAATAGCCTTCAAAGATCAAGAGGTTGTGGCTGAGACAGATGAATAATGGTGGAAGTACAAGCTGCTGATGCAAAACCAGAAGAGAAATGATGGCTACAGAGATGACAGTGGCCCTCCCTGAATTCACCAGCTTACATGGCCTCTGCTAGAGCAGATTCAGCTTGCAGTCTGTTGGTTTTATTCTTATGCCATCATTAGATATAGGGTAGAGGTGGCCACTGATGTTTTGGATGGAGGTGTAGGGAGGGTGGTCACAGAGCAAAGCGAGCAGCCTTTCTCCTGCCCTGAACTATCCTCCAACCCACCAGGGCACTTGCTCTTATTCTGCTCAGTCAGTTTCAGAAGTAGTACTCAAGGACTAAATTTCCACTTAATTTAATTGAGAAAGGCTGTAGGGCTTTACTGCTATCATTGTTTAGCAGTTATTTTTCCTGAAGCTGCAATTATCGCTGCCAATGCAATTCAGTGGGTAATGGAGGAAGTCAGGACAGTATATGCTTCAAAACCTCTCGGGTGCCACCTACCCGTGACACTTATTTGTGAGGCTCCCACTCCAAAACATTTTACCTTCAGGTCCTGGTCGTTTAAATTTGCCTTTAAGATTCTGCATATAAAGAGCTAATAAATGTTTTAATACATTTTTATGGAGTCATAAAATCCAACAGACCAACGGGTTGTTTCTACCTGTAGCCTGTAACCATCTGCAGCATTAGCTGATGTATTTATAACCATCTAGAGATAAGTGGCATATGTGGTAACACTTCATACTCATTTATTAACCTCATACAGCCCACTGGAGGATGTTGCTTCTGACAAAAGCTGGATCATAATTTCATTACTCAGATCACATAAATTAATTTCCATTTACCATCTAGCAACACATGCTATAAACAAACCTCATACAAACCTTCTGATAGAGAGAAAGAAAATACTGGACAAGGAAAATTTGCCACCCTTGGAAGAAAAGGCTCAGTAAGGCAACAGCAAGTTTGTTCCCAAATTTACAGAAAGAATGAAAATGTAATTAATTATCCAGGCAATATCTGAAATTAAAATTTCAAAATACAGGTCTTTCTCGGTGTAATTATTTTGTATGCCCTGCTTATTCCTACTCAGTACTACAGTGTTAGATTCCTTTAATCAATTAAACAGATACATTCACGATGCAAAACAAATTAAGTGGAACAACTCTGGACAGGATTTGCTTGTTGATTCGTCCTGCGTTCTGCCTGCGCTGTGCTAATGCAAGTGTGCCATCAAGTGGTACAAGAAGAAAGAACCTGGCCAAGAACTGATCCTCTAGTTTAAGCCTATTAAATACATAGTGTCTCCTGAAATGCCACCTCTGTACCTGTAAATAACAAGTGACAACTACTGCTATGCCACTGTAACACCAGGAGGGAAAGAGCTCTGTGGCTGGGGTTACTGGGCACATAACTACAGGGGCAAGTGTCTGTTAATTCAACAGGCTTTGAGGTTCTTACAACACGCTTTTATCAAAACTTCACCTTTTTAAAGTCTGCCAGAGGCCCTAATTACCATACAGTGTGGCCTATGACCCACATAACAGAACAAAGCAGCTCTTGAAGGACGCCTCTGAGGATCTGATGAGCAGCATGACTTACTTGTTCAGACAGCTGAGGCCGGTTCTCTGTGCAGCTCAGTTCAGCCCAGAGGGGAAACTGCCCCTGTCATCTGGGACCTGCTGGTAGTGCTGGTTGGTGAAAGACGTCTTCACCTACGTGAGGACACCAGGAGATCCTCCATTCTCCTTCTTGCGTTGCTTCCAGCCATGCTGGAGCTGAGTTAGGCTCAGAAGTGTCTGATTGGGGTCAGGGATATGAAGGGATTAATTTAGGTACAAGAAGAATCCTTGTTGGGGATTTCTGAGAGACATAGACCCCTTCCACCTCCAAACTACCTCAGTATCTCAGACCTGAATATATCAATCCCTTATGTTACTATGAGAAGATGTTTAACTGTTTGGAGTTTTTTTTAACATCCAGGTAACTTGAGGACATATGAGGGAAAGGTCATACTTCAAGAGGTGCCAAGACGCCCATACCCAGTAACATCACTAGAAATTAACTGACCCTAAATACCTTTACAAATATATTATTAGGCAATATGCTTCAGCGCATACAAGTACATACATTATACAAACCTACTGTTTCCTGAGCCCTACGTGTAGTAGATAGTAAGACCAAGAGCATAATAAAGCGAATCAGTTAGTTTTCAGACTAGTATGGCTTATATTCGCTTTTACCTCACAAATATATATATATATTTATATATATATATCTATATCTATATCACTTCTGAGTTACCCCTGCATTTTCAATTCTGGTGGAGCTGAGCAGCAGATGTGACCCTATGTGGATTTTTTTCCCCCTGGATATTACCTGATGCCAAGCACATCTCAACACTGCCCACTTCCTTTGGTGAAAAAAAGGTAATGCAATTGTGTTAGACTGCAACTCTGTAAGACAAATAGTGTGTGGTTAGCTGACAGTCACAGCTGTGTTGAAGCAGACATCTGAAATAACAGAATAGGAAAAAGAACAATATGACCAATAACTGAAAGATTGTTTGGAGAGCATCGGTAATTTGTGGTTAGTAACACAGAGATGTTTGAATAGGACACAGTCATTTACTTCCTAAAAGCTAACAAAACAAACCTCTTTTCCAAAGCAGCTTGTTCTCACTGTCCAAAGCATCAGGAAACATCCAGCTTTCCTCTTTTTCACTAATTGTGAAAACTGACGTTCAATATATTTATCCATGGTCTGCTGAGCTGGGACATCTGTCTGTGTTTCTGTTCTCACCCACAGCCAACCTTCCCTGGCAAAAAAGTCACAGGAGCATAAAGGGGGCCCTCATTTACTCCTTGGGGAGTATCTGTAATACCAGCATGCTGAAATATCCAGGCGTTGTGTTCTCTTTATTATCAGTATTTACATGGAGCTGGAGACAGGAGAGAGGAAAGCAGAGGAAGAGAGGAAATGGCAATACACTGTATGTCAAATAGAGAAACATTGCTTCCAGTAGTTAAATGAGGAAAAATTAGACTTTGCAAAGATTTTAAGTGACTGTATTTGCATGCTATATAATTGGTAGTCCAGGAAAATTGGGGGGAAAAAAAACCCCAAAACACAAAGATAGTTTAATTATTAGTAACATGAAACAAACAGTAAAATATATTGCATACTGACAGACTGTCTAAACTACCAAGGAAGTGTGTGTAACAAGGAAAGGTTGATCAGAAGACAATGGCAAAGAATGAAAGGTAATATGTACGCAATTATCTAAAAAAAAAAAAAAGAAAGGAGTGAGACACAATGTGTTCACTAGAAATAAAAACACATCTGAAAGCTTTCCTTATTAAAACTGCTGTTATTCTCTC